CAGAATCTTCGACAAGAGATCGTTGGCCGCTAGGAGTTATTGTGGGATGCGAGCAATCCGCGGACGGATTTGTCAGAACCGTTACGATAAAGACGAGAAACGGCGAGGTGAAGCGCGATATACGTAAGATATGCCTACTAGAGAGAAGTCATTTGTAAGAGAGCCGGGCACGAGTGTTATTCGGTGTAACATGATTCATAAAATCCTAGTCGGATTTTGGGGGCTGGTGTAAGATCAATTGAATTCCCATCCTTAAATCAAGTCAACCTGTCCCGGATCAGCCTAGCGTTGTTGCAACACAATTATCCATGCCCAACGTGTCTATCCCACCTTGTTTAATTAACTGTGTATGTGTGTTTTTACTTCGATCCTTTTAGTCAGACAGTTGAACTCATGACCCAATCAGAGTATTTTTGTGAACTGTTATTTTGCTGCCCCATGCCTTACTTTGTATTATTCTGTTGAGTTTATCTTATTTATTGATTCGTTAAGTAGCCAATTAAATTCTATCTTTGTGCCTATGTTTTGTCTATCTCTTACTTGGGTTCATTCTTCTACTGACTGCTTACCTGAACGGTCGTGTCTGATCCGGCTAGTTCGTAATTTTGGCTTTAACGTTATTCCGCTCTGATAGCGGTTCCTTGCTTTCTGTTAAGCATTGTGTATTGTGCTCTTGAAACCGTTAAGGTTTGTTGTATATATAATTATTGATTTGTTTATTATTAGTACCGTAGAAACAGTGACCGGCTTCTTGTTTGTTGTGGACCGGGATAGCCCATATCTTCGCGCGACTTAATTTCAAGCGATATTGCGCTTTCAATAATATTTTTATTTTGCAGTGTCACAGTAAACTGAAAACTAAACACACAATGAACATGCTTCTGTATTTCTGTCGAGCGGTAGTCATATAATGCTTCTTGCAAGTATTTCATGTATGCAAACATTCTGAGCATCCCTAGCCACAAACAAAATGCACGAAATATTACTGAGCAATAAAATACATAGTAGGAGATGTACACTCTCAATCTATTTGTCGCCATGAAAATCCACTCAAATATTAAAAAAGATAGTGGAATTGTTTTTTAGAAGGTACGTTTGTGGGTTGTTGGATATGTTTCATGTTTGATGACGGAATGATATCACTAAGAGTATCATTATAAAGAACAGAGTAATGAGCTGCTGTTCCATTTCAGTCCAAGACTCTTTAGAATGACGCATATTTAGGCCACTGGGATCCGACTGCAGGCCTTCAGTATGCGAAATGACCCTGAATGAATATTCATCAAACCATTCTTCAGGTAGCTGACGAACTTGCATCCTCATTGAAAATGAGATCGGTAGGCATTCATCAAGCCAGTTGTGCATCAGCATCATATCATTTTCACTTCATCGCGCTTTGTCTACTCGTCAACTGTGAGATCATCGGTTCCCCTGTGTAACACAGCTTTTTCATCTGATCGATTACAACTCCCACATTGTCAAAAAAAGGTGACTGAAGCATAAAATATGCACTGGAGTCCCAAATCACAATAGTTATTATTCAGTCATAGTACGTTTGAGGAGAGCAGAGCATATGCCTACACTGTACTACATTACAGTTGAATTCCAGCATACAAGGAAGACGTTCATTTTGCGATACTAGCACTTAGCAATTAATTATTTAATACTGTATCAGCTTTCGATTTCATCATTCACATAATTCTCCTATCGTGGAACAGACAGTGGTGATACACAAATCAATACTTTCTCTATTCAACACTGACAATCATCACTCGACCAATTATTTTATTCATTATAACTCACTGTATGCACTGACTGTTTGACTACCAGACTGCCTAGCTCACTGACTACTGACTTATATTCACCGTGTCCCACAAATATCCATCAACATGTGAAGGATCACAAATATAAAATTCATGCATAGTCAGAGACACATTTGAGTCGAAAACAAGCATATCATTTCATCACCAAAGGAATAACAAAGGAACAAGTAAATTTTCATCATCACTTCGAATCATTCTAAGCTCTCTCCCTCTCGCTCTTTCACTCTATATATCGTTGCTCTCTCTATCTCTCAATATCCCACAGTTTACTACCTGCGCAGTCTGATGATGATGAAAAGCCCGCACTCAACAACCACTTGACTACGAACATGCCTATTTATTAACAAATTCACATATGCCTGTAATCAACGACTTAGCAATCTTTTCATTCATTTACTAAATGATCATTATAATACTGACACAAATACACATACATGCACACATGAATGGATAGACAGAAGGAAAAACAGCCAGACAGACTCACGCATGAACTCACTGAGTAATTCCTTGTAAGATGAAAGATTTTCACGGAAATCATTCTGTCAAAATGTATTGAGATTTTGACTGAAACGGATGAAAGTAGTGTTTACCGATAGAAAATCCTCTCAATGCATTCATGTGCACACCATCTAGCTGTCGAATCCATATGTCGCTTTGTGCAGAAGGCAACATCTCTACAACTCAGCTGTGATATAATTGGCAAATCTATGGCTTTTTTCACATCATTCAGAATGTTGCTAATGGAATCTGCATTTTACCATCTTTTCCTTCATTCGACTATATTTATGTACACAAAACATCCAGGGTATTCTCTGTTCTGCTTAAAACATCTGAGAGATGTGCATCACCTTCTCATACTCAATGCTAATTGGACATATTTCAATAATTAGGAATTTCAATATTGTGGAGACAAGAGCTCTCAAAACATAATGTTGACTTATTTACATGGTATATAAAATGAGGCTTTTAATTCCGTATTTCTCAGACCGCGATATGATTTCATAACATGGAAGACGAATTTGCCGCATTCGAATGACGCATAGTGACTCAGAATTTACATTCAATATATCATATTGTACACTGTGGTTAACGAAATAACCTATGGACAACCAACCCACTAATTATCAACCTCTGCGCGGCTAGATCTTCACAAGTCACCTTTGAAAATACGTGTAGCAATTCCCTTGAAAAAATTTAGGTGAATGGGTTTCTTTGTAGTCTTTGGCAAATAATAACACTTCTCCTCATCTTCAGTCAAAAGCATAATGCTCAAATTGTGCGCAAGTGGTAAGCCTTTTTGTCCTAATTAGCTACTTCATTCTCACGTATCCCACTTCTACTAGAAAGACAGAAAAGGCCAACTGAAACAAGATCTTACGAAGGAAAATATTATATTTAATTAAACAAAAAAGAGATAAGCAAACAATGTATTCCCCTCACCAATATTGCTTGAATTCCATTGGAATCGAACTCACTATTCTGCAGCTGAAAACAAATGAAACCAGAATCAAAGAACAAATGAGTTGAGAATAGATTCGTATCTTGTACAGTAGAAATTATTTTCCCCGATTCTCATCTAACTAACAATGACACTATTATTAAGGTAATACTTCCAGTGGAGATTGAAACACAGAATAAGTGGGTACATTAGCCGTTGATTTCAAGTTACAATTCTATTCACAGAAATCAGCTGTGCAAAGCACATTTGAATTTACGATGTTCTCAACAGTTGTTAAAATCCTGATATTGTGCATTCGCCAACTGTGATCGTGTGACCAGTCAGCCAGTAGGTGAGTCATGACTTGCTTTTAAAATGATGAGTAATCAAGAAATGCGAGTGAAGAGAATTTCAGTGTTACTTGCTTTTCAAGGATTCATCTAGCTGGTTTTACGTAACGGGGAATTCCATCTTGATGTTCGTATTCAATTGAGCAGTTAATAAGTAATTTAAAATACCCTCAGGATCTAACAAGGGAATTACTTCAATAATACTGATTGGCATCTTCCTTCATTTCAGCCAGGAGCCATTTTATTCCATCTTGTGGGGTTTGAACTAACCAATTCAAAATCATTTCAGTATTTCAACTTACACTTTAAAAATGCAATCCTCTTCATTTCCAATAGTTTTATTTTGTCACGTAGTTCCTCTGAAACAGTGAATAGATTTTCATTGATGTGTCAGAAGCATTTTTAATGTTGTGCTGCAACAGTATGAAATAAAGCTGAAATCTCATTATGCTTGATCACGTCATGCAGTTTCAAAGTAACTGTTGTTCTGAGCTTAACAACATGTGTGATACATTTTCATGGCTTTACTGCACGATGCATTGTTGAGGTCTCTGCTTAATGAACGATGAAACTGACTCATTTGTGCACAAATATTTCAGACTTTATTGTCAGCAACTGTCCAACAATTTGCAGATTCTGATATTAGTTTGACAAGTAATATTGCTAATTTTATCAATGATATAGCCTAATTTAGTATAAGCAAATGCGACATAGCCATACAGGCTACTTCTCTCTCTTACGAAAATGAAATTCACTATGAAATGCAGTCGTCACTAGAACTATGTGATCGACTTAGATAACTATGTGAAATTACCTGTGGCGATGTTGAAATCAGTACGAGCCTTCCAATACGCTTCCGTAATTTCAATATCATGCAATGAGTCTGAAAGAAATAATGACTCATTTCCAATCTCATAGTCGCATATATTCTTGACGATATTGAAGGAACATGCTTTATACAAATACATTCAGTGTGGAATGAAATATGTTTAAGTAGTGAGCGCACTGAATTTTCAATCACTGAGTAAGTTCCTACTTTAACTTATCGTCTGATTGGTCTGTCGTCTTTACCGTCACATGATCATCAAACTAGAAATCTACAAGAACGAGTCACTGTTATTTCAAAATGTCATGTTATATTCTGTTGATATTTGTTCATCCTCTATTTTATGTTTGCTTGTTGACGATCCAAATTTTCACTGTTTGCAGCTCCGAGCTAGTCACCTTCATTCAGTTATGATAATCCTATTCTTTAGTAAATGTGGAGTTCTGAAGTTTCTTCTTGTAGAAATGTCACGACTTTCAATCAAAGTTGAATCGCATGAAGCTTATTGATGAATACCTTTTTACTTTATGATATTTTAGGTCAGATTAAAACGGATTGCTCACCATTTGTGGATTTTCCCCTCCCTACACCTCTCAAATAAGCTAGGTAATAATAAAAGAAACACATGGTACGATTATGAGCCATAAATTGTCCCAGAAACGTTATCCGGTTATGAATACTGTGAAAATATATATTATATTCACTAAAATAATCTAATATCGAATTTTATTTTACCACAGTGTAAACTTTTCCACTTCTTCAGTCAACGTCATCTCCACTATAATTATTATTATCATGTTGAGAAGACTGACTCTCGGTCTACTCTTCTGTATGCCTTCCAGTATAAAGCAAAGAGGCAGTCGGTTTTAGTTTCACATCATTCATACAGTTTAGTGGAAATTACCAAATAGTTGTGGAAAATTATGTTCGTCTGGCGTCTGTGTGTTGACGGTCAGTTGAACACGTCTAATTTTCATGCATCATCATCACCACGTTCATCCAATGATGAATCATTAGAGTCCGGTTCATGGCTTCATTTTATCTTAAAGTAAACTGATCATGTTGATGAATTTATGCACTCACTTGATGTTTTTCTGTATGCATTAGATGCATTGACTGCTGCCGTTTCCAGCACTTTAAGGTGAGCTAAGAAAACAAGAATTGTTGACTGATAATTAAACATTGATTAAAAAACGTGAATGTTATTTTCACCATCATACTGAACACAATATATTGACGATCCAAAAACGTTTCATAATAGTTTGATTATTTCTCAACACGTTCCTTCTCACAAAACAGTGAATATATTAATTTTCAAAAGCACACTACACTCCTCACGAAAGTAGTGCTGAATCTTCGGTGGTAAAACTGGCCTCCCTAATAATTTCAAGAAGTTATTGTCCTGGCGATGAAATGGATAACTAATAGAACTTAGTTATTATGTGTATTACTGATGATTAATTGGAGCATTTAACGAAAAACTATTAACACAATGACGAATTTATTTCCATGCTAACAGTTCATTATTCGTGAAGGTAGTGTGCAATAAAAAATTTTAAAAATCAATTTACCTTTGGATATATTCACTGCTTTCTTTGCTTTTCTGAAATCCTTCTTTTTCATTCGAATTTGGACTATAATTTCACAGTATCGAAAAGCATGAAATGTTTCATTGTGTATTTTTCAATGTGAAGTGATCATATTAATTCAATGGTTTCTGACTGTCACAATTCATGTATATCCTATTGATAATGTCCAACGTATCGGAGGATATTTGAGTACTTACTGCCAACAGTAAACCAAATGCCTTCACTAGGTGTTAACTGAATTTATACTGCATCTGTGTCCTTTTTCTTCGTTAACTTGACTTTGTCCATTATGGAACAATAATCAATTGCATAGAATATTGAACTTTTGTGCAATAATTTGTGAAATCATTGAATGAATAAACGTGTCAATGGTTTCGCATGGTACAACTTGTATTTATAAGGACATTATGTATTTTAAGGTATGTTTGTATGTTAAGGACTGAAGCTGCATGTGCTATTGAAAAGATTTCTAAGTATAATAGGGATTTGAAATCAGAGACAGCAAATAATTTAGCATTGTGAAGAATCATGGGAGACGCGAAAGGAACACAAAGAAACACAATAGGAAGGAGAGAAATAGCATAACATGGAAGATCTGTGCAAATGGTGAAATGGAGATAAGGTACATATATATTTGGCAATAAAGATATAACAAATTTCAAATAAATGTTGCTTTATCAAGTCTTTCGTCTTCTACTGTAACACTAATGCATCACTGAGTAAACATATTTCTATCCATTATTTCTGGGTAAACCGTAGTATGTAACGCATTGATGTTCACACGTAGATTTCGCACTGAATAACAATTAAACCACTCTGTTCTTACTGGCGAGAAAATGTGAAGGCTAGTGTTCGTTTTCAGAGATTTCATTATGTATTAAGTAAAAAGATGATCTTTCAGTGAACACAGTTCTAATCGGAATTCACCTGTGTGGAGTTCGATTTTGTGAAGGAGGTGTGTCAGTACTGAATATGCTGATGCAAAATGAACTAGAGTAGACATAGTGTTTGAGTGCTTGGTTGCAGCCTACGCAGCTGTTCAACCAACTCGAGAATTGAATCAGACGATCAACTAGCTGCTGTATCTGATTGTCGTAAAAGACAGTCAGACATGGTTTGTTACGAATAAGTATCATCACATTTCAGTGGAATTGTCAATATCGATATTACTGACATAAGAGAAACTGCTATTCACAAAATGAAGAGAGATATTTTAGCACAGCTGAGAATTTACGAAGGATGAATAACAAAGTGTAAGAAGACCAACCTCTGTATTTTCTCAAATTTTCTGACGTCTCCACCCAAAATTTACCTGGAATTGATACATCACACTGTCAATCAAATTCCAGCTATCCAATGAATCCAACATTATCATAACCAGTTTATTTGAAGATGGATTCAGCTGACATCAATTCAAATGACAGCATCACAGTTAACCTGCTTACTAAGTATAAAGCTTTATTAGAAAATGGTATCGGACCATAGAGTAAGTGTACTCTCACTCATGTACCGATGGGAAGCAGTAGATGTTCGAGTGATTCTAATAGCAAAATATGAAGAAGTGAAAACACGTATTGTGTTTGTCTACTATCGCTAATTCTATTAATTACTCTCTTTTATGTGGATAGCGCGTCTGTGCACAGATATTCTCGTCATTCTGTATCAAGTGTGAATATCAATGCTGATGCTAAAATCGTGAAGGTAAAGCAGTGAGGAAAAGCAATGAAATGTGCAGGAAACTCCTACACAATACCGTTTTATACTGCAACGCCATCAATTCATGCGGGATTTAATTTAAGACTGTCATTAAGTGATATATCACGTTTTCTTTCTCACTTAGTCTGAATTCACACTCATGAGTGTGATGTTCAACAAGAAATATCGCCGTTCCGATATGTTGTGGTAAATCTTGTTTAAGAATGAGAAGTTTACTGTGGCTTTACGCACTTCACCTGATTACAGAAGAAGAATATTTACTTTCTCACAAAATATCAAGTAACCCACCGCCTTTCTGAAAAACGGAATAATAAAAATATTACCTCCTGCAATATCGAAATTTTTTCGATTTTCCCATTTCTTCGAAATATGCGTTTTCATGAGACTATATAATTGTTGATAACCTGGAGAAATTAATGCAAATTCACTAGAAATATTTACTAAGATGTGTAGGATGTGGACTACGTAATTATTTGAGTCTTAGAATGTTCCACAAACATGATGACTGAGGTAATCTATCGAGATGTCTTAGTATGACTCAGTCATCCAACAGATTTCATCATAATATCAATTTTAAACCACCGAATTCACGTAAGCCCTGCATAACGCCTTGTGAATGTGGTCAGTTTTCTGTGAAAGAGTAGGAAGCGATATGTTTACATCTATACAATCAATGAAAATTATTATCAGTTGAAATGATAATGTCATCAATAAGTAGACAAATAACCTGGAGATCTTCTGAATATCACTAAAACGTGATCTGTTTTAACAGTGAATCTTAGTAACAAATCAATATAAAAAACAATGACGAGAGAAGTCTACTTTGGTAAGGAGTGTCTCAACAGTGATCAGATTTATCCTCAAGAAATTTTTCTAAATAATGCTTTGGTAGACAAGTGTGACTGATATGGTTGAAAAGCAAATAAGACTGTAGATTGAAAAGATGACTTTACAGAAAACACCAGTTCAAAATGTTGTGTACATTTTCCACAGAACTTGTCAACCAGCCAGTGGATTAAGATTGAATAGTATTACAACTTTTAGTTAGAAAAACCAGTCATACCAAGAACTTTGTACGAAAAAGCATAATCTTCTTCCAACGCCTTCCTGTATTCATCTAGAAAGGAAGGAAGCAATGTTTGGTAATATTTAATTCCTCAACTAGCCAACAATCTGTTATGTGTAGTTGTACACTGCGATAGTAGGAAAGTGTGAATAAAGTCAATTTATAAACAGATGACATTTCGAGCAGTCTTAAATCGTCGCAATTATCTGAAAGTCATTCCTAAATAGAATAGTTAAGCATATCTCTCCTAACAGATATCATGGAAAACTGTTAACTCTGAGATCGGTTTCAGTTGAAGGGAGACAAATCTTGCTCCAATCTGATTGCAAAATTGTGAATCATCATTAAAAATAAGCTGAAATAACAGTCTACTGGTTACTTATTCCTCATGGAATTTTGGAAGACATCACCCAGTGTCGACCATGACGTAACTTGTTTGCTTTACCAGTACTCCCCGGTACGGCATACCCTGATGCACCTCATTCAACAGGCATGTGATTATGAAACATGCTTAACATCTCACATTGGAATGTTTATTGGATCGCTTGAAGTTAAGACAAGGCCATCTGATATCACCTATGGTATTCCTGTGTTACTGTTCTGGACTGAACCATTCGAAACATCGTTGAGTGTGATGATCTTACTGTTTAACCCAGGAAGGCCGAAGACGAATAACAGTAATAATTTCGTAATGTAAATCAATAACTGTGGATTTATTCACCCATTCAACATCTAATGAAAGTAAAATAGAACTACACAATCAAAGTTCCCAAGTCATATAAGTGAACTTGAAAAATATATAGATTATACATTATATTCGTAATGTTATCAATGATGCATGCTGTTTCATTGCATCATGTATGTATTCAACAATGTAATGTTGAAAAGGACATTGTAGAGAAAGTGAATGATGGAGAAAACATTCCTGCTACTGAATACGGCATCACTAGTGATTGCATTGACGAGAAATTACACAATGCTTCATTAAATGGGTGAGATTGCATTCATACAGCCTAGCGATAATCGCTTCACTTGTTAGCCTTGCCAAATAAAAATAAAGATGAAAACATTCGGTGATATCTGTCACACGAAATGATTTCAAGCTGACGTTTATCTCACAAAAAGTAACATGGTAGTTTTGTCTTCAGTTCCCAAGTGATTTTGTCCAATGCATTCTGTTCATTATTTCAGGATCAAATAACTTACCAAAAGAAAAATTTACCAGCTTCTTATCTACTGCATCGATTGCTATAAAGATGTAGATAATTTTGCAATATTATTTACTTGTACTCGGAAGGACGGCAAGAAGGGAACAGTAAGAAAACGTGATATACGGACTGATGACTTGTCAGATATGAAAAGTACAACAAAGCAAAGCAGATAACAGAAGCTGTTTGCTTTTATACTAAGTACATGGCAACTTGTTTGAGGCATTAAAAACTTGACAGGGGAGTCAACATCATTCATTCTGCAGATGGCCCAATGTATTCTTATTTTATATCGGAAAAGTTTATTTAATACCATGCGAATTGAAAAGATGCGTACTGGAGTACTTTGCAAAAGGTGCGAATGAAATTTATTACTGTACTCGGAGTTTCTCCTTGAGATTTTTCAGACTATTCGTTGGTAGAATTTTCTGTGTCACTCGTACGTGGAGATCACTCTCCGAAGTATCAGTTGCGATGATCTATTTGTCCAGTAATTGAATTATTTGCTGATCTCCAACGACACTGCAATTCATTTCAATTCACACTCCATCATATTTAACTTCAGTGAAGATTCACGCTGTTATCCGACACAGAGTTAATTTCAGAAACATCAAAGAATCGTATGCGTGAATGACAGGACTTACATTCAAGAAATTCCTTCGCCCATTTACTTCTATATAAGTGTTCAAGTCTCAGGATTTCTGTTTGAAGTGAAAAAAACAAAATTGGTGCATATCGTAATGTTGGTTGAAATAGGCTAATGGCTGAAAAAAATTTTGACTAGCGAAATGATGCTGTGCATATATTTCGTATTCTCCACTTGCCATTTATCTCTATAAATCGACATTCTCTTCTGCTCAAGTTAACAAAACGTTTTTTAGGTGTTCACTGATTTCGCATTTTGTAGAGATTTGAGAACAACACTTAACCACTTGAATAACTAAGCCACTTAACCAGCTTGTTAATATTTAGGTCGACAGGCACATGGACTCATGTGAAAAATGGCCTAAATCCATTTTATCTAACTCACAGCGCCCTCTTCATTCACAAGCATTAGGCTTGACACCTATACTTCATTAAATAGTCAGTAGTACAACTGGACCTCGTCTTTCTAACCCATATCATTTATAGGTACAACATTTTCGTTCTTTCTTTCCCTATTCTCTCTCTCTCTCTTTTTCCGTTATGTGCTGCTATGTTTCTTTCTCTCGCTTACGTCAGTAAATATGACAGCTCCTACTTTTCTAACACCTTCAAACACTGTTCAGCTTTACCTTTGCTACCGACATTCCAATGAGTTGTTGTAGTAATGAACTGAGATTTCCTTAATCTATGTAGAATTCTATTTATTGATAATGCACTAACTGGATGCACTACTGTAGTAAAAATGCTGAGAATTCCATTTTGTATCACAAGTACTGTTTTGGAATAAAGCAAATTATTATTATTTTGATGTGGTTGTGTTCTCTGAGCTGGATAGTTGATTTGCGAAGCTTTCATCACCCTACTAGGTGACATCTTCAGCGCATACTTCAATTTGAAGTGAGCTTTTAGATTTATCCACGAGTTTATTAATCATCTCTCCTGGCGACCTTGGACTTGATTGGTTGTTTCTGTGTGTTTTCACACCTACTAGGTTACTTGTATTGTCAGTCATTGTTTCTTTGACTTGAACTTTGACCCTTTGTGTGTGACGTTTCTTTCTTATCGGTTGATAAATCTCGATGTGTCTCAATAGGCAAATCGAGATAGACAAAATTTATCAACCGATAAGAAAGAAACGTCACACACAAAGGGTCAAAGTTCAAGTCAAAGGAACAATGAGTGACAATACAAGCAACCTAGAAGGTGTGAAAACAAACAAAAACAACCAATCACGTCCAAGGTCGCCAGGAGAGATGATTAATAAACTCGTGGATAAATCTAAAAGCTCACTTCAAATTGAAGTATGCGCTGAAGATGTCACCTAGTAGGGTGATGAAAGCTTCGCAAATCAACTATCCAGCTCAGAGAACACAACCACATCAAAATCATCCACCTGAGCTACAAATCTTCTCTATCATTATTATTACATACTGTTTGTAGGTTTTTGTGAAAGGATTGATTATTTGCATGTTGTGCCCTGTGAGTAACCCTGAACAGTCAGTAGCACACTAAAGTCTATTTAGTTTATTACTGCCTTATCGAGGCATAATCAGCTTCAAACAGATGAAATGCTGTGCCTATGTTTAGTCCTTTAAAACCATTTAATGAGGAAAATCTTTCGTGTTCAAGTATCAGGTAATTGAGGATGGTAAAATAATTACCTGTTAAGTCACTGTAATTTTCGTGGAATATGCTATTCACGGAAAGCCTCTCTACTGTTGAAGTTACTGAAGAAGTAGGCATTGGAGTATACGAGGTTTAGTAGAATGAACCAGGAGTTTAGTAAACTAAAGCATTTCCATCTTGATATTCATAATATCAAATATCGTTCTATTCATGCGTCCAATACTTAGTTAACTCATTTACCAGTGATTTGTTTTAACTTTCGTGTTCAACATAAAGCATAAAACTGCGTTTATTTTCACCAGTGGGTTTACTTTGACTGTACTGTGCATGACTTCCTAATATTGTCCGAGTACAGTGACTACAAATAGAGCAAGAACAACAGTACTGCAGGATAAATTGAAACCCTTATTTATTTAGCTGGCTATTATTAAGCTTCTTGTAGCTCAAAGCCAGCAAAATAAACGATTGTGTTATTTTTGTCTACAAAAACTGTTGTTCTTGCTTTATTCAAATAATTAAAGTAAATAAATGTGCAATGATTTCCTTTCGCAGATGGTGGTAACACTTCAGTGTCCCACTTTTCTTTAACGAAGACAATCTAAATTGTTTGCTCGTTTTGACACTCCATTCAAATTGAGGTTCATCCACGTACAGATAAACAACAAACACACTTAAAACAATCCAGATCCCAGTTCCGTGATTCTACAAGCGACGCAGAACAAGTGGGAAGAGAGGAATTCTACAAACAAC